GGTGAGGCCAGTGTAATACCCACTTCGTTAGTTCTCCTATCCCACTTCTGACATCAGAGATGTTATAAACGCTTGTGTGGTATCACGAAAGAACAAACGAAACAACGAATAGCACCAGCGAGGCGAAAAGAACAAAAGACAAAAATTGTTAAATTATTTGTATATATCTGTTTTGTGGACCGGATGTGATGCTCGGAGACCCTGCACAGACAGCAATTTTTTAATTATTGCTTTCTTAGCGTTCACCTCCGGCTGACAGGTATTGTATTGTTGAGTGAATCAGAAAGAGGTCTAACTTGAAGAAAAGTATAACATGTTGATTAAACTTCTTTAATTTTTTTCGTTAATTAATATTTCTTTGGCAATTATTTTTAATAGGACACGAAATTGTTTGAACTGTGACCCTCAGGGTGACTTTTTAGTTCTATTAGTCCTATGACAAATCACATGATGGACAGCGTAAAATGAACGCTGTTGCACACTGACAATTTTTGACGTTGTATTACTTTTCTTCATTGGTGCATGCTTTGTGTGTGTGTGTGTGTGTGTGTGTGCGTGTGTGTGTGTGTTGGCGCACATTGAACCTGATGCGTAATTTCTTTGTGTTTTTACTAATATTCACCCTATATAAGGACTAAAGGCTACTCAAAGTGACTGAAAGCAGTTGTCGAACAGTAAGAATAGGGAAAGGTAACGGTTAAGCCTGGACTTGAAGAGGTTAAGATTCTAGTGGCCAGGAAAGCATCCTCCTGGGATTCTGTTCCACAAAGCAACAGTTCACAATTTTATCCAAATGGAGCTTCCTCCATACTAGGAATACGAAAGGAATGAGGGTGGTTCACTTTTAATGTACCCGCCATAGCTGGGAGGGTTAGTGATGGGGGAAATAAGGCATGAATCGTAGCTCGTCTGAATATTTTCCATGGAAATAACAGTAAAGTAGCGAGAAGCTTGCAACATTTTATCTGTGGGAAAGTGGTTGTAAAGTGGTAAACAATTAATCACCCACAAGGCCGCGTAAACGCTTTTGGACTCTATCAAAACTGGAAATCGAGATTGGGCAGCACCAGCCCAGATGGCAGCAGTACTCAATTTTTGGTCTGATCTGTCTCTTGTCACCTTGTGTAAAGTTAGAGCATAGTCGGAGTAGTCAGGTACTTATTAGAGTGCTACAGCGAACGGATAATTTTCCAAGCATCTTTAGCGATGGATCCCTTGAAGTTTGGGGACCTATTGGGACTTAATAGGCGTTCAATGCAAGGGAACATTCGTTCATTGAGTTGAGATAGATGGAAATTCAGGGGGCTACTCTCGGTGATGATAGAATGTTTTTGTTACAAGTTTGTTTTTGTTTGAGGTTGAATGTAACCAGCCAGTTTTTCTCTTATCGCGTTATTAAAGCTCGGAGGAGAGATTAACTGCAGGGTCTGGTCATTAGATTTTTGGAGGTGCACCCCATAGTGCTTTCCTTTGTATCATATGCATATTCATTCACGGTGGTCAGAGCAGATTTAAAATCCGTTTTCTTTTTGTATACGAAAATAAAAGTATTATTATTATTGACATTTTTAATAAATATTTTGAATATTCAGTACAAACAAAAAGGTAACAATTTTTTTATTTAAAAGATTAAAATATTTTTTAAAGATTGTATTATTGTTTAATAGTATTGAAGAAACCAAGAAAAAAAATTGATAATGTTTAACTACTACCCGCAGTTTCGTATTCCACTCTTCTGGCGAATACACGTGGTAATTAGAGGTAATTTCTAACTTTTTGATTTTAATCTTTTTTCTTTGGATATTGCATGATTATTTGAAATATTCAATTTTTCTGTGGTTTACCATTTGAGTGATAACGAAGGATTATTAGACACAAGACGAAACTCATTGTAAATTCCTCCTACATATCACACTTCCTCAGTCAACTCAAGTCGATATTAAAAAATCATACATTTATAAATGAAACCGATTTTAATGAATTCTTGTTTTAATTATGTAGTTGATTATTTTACATTTAGATCTTTTTGGCTTGGAAAGTTCGTAAGTGTAGTTTAGCGAGTTAAGAATCAATTTGTTTTTTGTTCTCGAAAGGAAAGAATGTAAATTAAATATTCCTTTAATCCTTTCTGTGAGAAGCTTTTTTTTTTACGCAAATTTTTTTTCTGAATTTAACATAAACAACAATTTGTGTTAGTTATTTGTTTTAAAGCATCGGCTTAATTATTTCTAGATAATATTCAATACTTTGCAAATAATGAAATTTTTTTAAATTTTTAAAATATAACTTTCAGTTTTTTTTTCTCTTAAGATTCAGCATTTTTTAGATGAGAAGAAGAAATAATAATTCAGAAATGCAAAACCTGTAAATTTCTCCTATTAATTGCGTTCTTGAATAAAGCCTTCTATTTGCCTGAAAGAAAAATTAAGTTTCTTCACCTTTCATCACTGCTATTTAATTCGTTTGCACTTGCAGACACACACAACAAACACAATCAAATATTTGAACAAAACATGTTAAATTTTAACATTTGCCAAAGTTTTTAATTTTATTTTAAACTTTCATTTTAATAAGCTCCACGGAATAAAATAATCAGCATACCATGATGAAAACATACTCCAAAAACGTAATGAAAACTTAGTTTTATCGGCAATATCGTTCAAGAGGAAGGATCAAAGTATTTTTTGATTATTTAATTAAATTTTTACTCTTTTTCAGGACATTTGAAATTTTGATAAAAAAAAAAGGTAAATTTTCATTTTAACACCCGCGCGTCATTCATTGCTGAACGATTTTCTTTCAGAAATTAGTACGCGCTTCCATAAAGCGATTTTTTTTTACTTAACTTAAGAAGAAAGTTAACTTTAAAATATATGTAAACATCGACAAATAAAAGAATAACAAAAGAAAAAAAAACACCTCTAACCCTAATTTGAAAGTTAACTTTCTCTTTAAAAAAAATAAAAGAATAACAAAAAAAAAAACCTAACCCTAATTTGAAAGTTAACAACAAGGAATTACTGTGAAGGAAGTAAATAGGCCCAAATTGTATATGTCCACTAACAAAATTCAGCACTGAATTATTTATCAATAAGCAGGTAATGGCTGACGAAAGACCAGGAAAAAGTCCGAGTTTTTCGGGTCGTTAACATCCAAAAAGGTAGTTTTTTTTTCAATATCTAATTGTTGATTTGAGTTCAGCACAGAAATAAGACTATTTTGGAAAAATTTGAAGGGATATTAGCGCTCGGGTGTTAAAATGAAAATTTACCAAAAAAATTGTTTTTCCTGTGTCAGTGGTTGCACTTTTTTTAGCAAATTTATGCCTCTTTTTTTTCTTTGGCGGTAACAGACACATTAATTTGGAAATTCTTGCAATTGTCGGATTTTAATAAAATTTTCAGAACCTATTCACAAATGAATGAAATTGTTTTTTATTTTTTTTATTAGAAAATCTTGGTAAAAATATTTTTTATTTTACATGTGAATTTTTTGAAGAATTTAAATCACTGATTTTTTTATTTGCAAAATCGGACTCTGCCTTATCGAAAATCTATTCTGAATTGAAAAATAAAAAACTAAGACATTAGAGAAGCTTCTATGAATAAAGAAATTATTATCATCTGAAGAAAAAAAATTCGATGAAAAGATTTACAAGATTTGTTTTTACTTTTTACAATTGAATAATTTATAAAGTTCTTGAATCTTCTAAAGTTCAATTTCGATGAGATAATTCTTAGGGAATATCGTTAAAACTATGTATTAGATGCAGAATTTCTGAAATATGGATGTACAAATTCTTACAAGGTCACACGTTTTAAGGGCTATCCCCACCTCCTTCCATGAAAAAAAAACAAACAAAACAAAATCCTAATGAAATTTGTCATCTGCTACACCATACTTAACTAATAAACACGTTTAGCAATCAATCAATTAACGCATCAGAAAAATGAGAGCCTATGGTTAGGAAATGCTTGTATACAACATTTTATGCTATCTATAAGTAAGTAATATTTATTTCAAATTAGATTAACTTAACTTTAAATTTGCTCATTTTCATCAAATAACGTTTCAGAAAAATATATAGTTTTGCAAAATTTTTAAAACGGAAAATTAGGTTTTGTTTCCAAATGTTTAAAAAATAGCTGACGTTATCGATTTTTACTGAAAAAAAAATGTAAGTCTATTCAAAAACAATATAATTTATGTCTGAAAATACACCAAAGTATTTTGCTTATCAGGTATAATCCTTTAGCTTTCATTTAAAGCTAAATTGAAAGCTTCAGGAAAGCTTTTTCATTTTTAGAAATTCATTTTAAACCCTACATATACCTAATTTGTAGAAGTACCTATTTTAATAATATTGCACGGTCTGCCAAATTCAGTGTCTAGCAATTTTCAATGACGATAAATTTGGAAAATTATGTAATTGTTGTATTTCATATTCTGCTTTTTTATTAGATTGCTGAAAAGTGAAAATAAAAGCGCTGAACATGGATGATCGATTTGACCATGTTTTCAAGGACCCACGTTTCCAGCGGGTTCCAGTTAAGGAAAAGAAATTGAAAATTGACAAACGATTTAAGGGAATGTTTAACGACAAACGTTTTAGTCTCAAATACACAGTTGATAAAAGGGGTCGTCCAATCAATAGCAGTACAAGCGAAGACCTTCAGAAATACTACAAGCTTTCTGATGATGATGATGAGGAGGAAGATATGGAAGAAATGGGTGGAGGTGAATTTTTAAGTGAAGATAAAAAAAAGAAGAAAAAACTGAACAAGAATAAGGAAGTGGAAAAAGATAATCAGTTGATTAGTAATGGTGTGAACTGTAACACTAATGAAGGAATATTAGATTTCAAGAAGAGTGCCAATGATTCCATGATTAAAAACAAGAAAACAAAAACTTCAGAAAAGGCAAAAATTGATAAAAAGACTAATTTGCAAAGAAAGAGAAAATTGTCATCTGAAGACCATGTGTTGAAGAGTAAAAATCATATGAAAAAGAAATCTAGAAAGGAGTTTGAGGTAGAAGGTATGTATGATTATTGGTTTAAAATTTTGAGCATTATGAACACATGAAAAAATGGTAAATGACATGAAGAAAAAACTTCAACATTGTAAATTTGTTTTTTTGTTAAAATTGAATCTATTAGAAAAAATTAAAAACAGTTTAATTTGAAAATTATTTGTATATTCAAATACAAAACTACCAGAGATATTAATATTTGATAAAGCCTAACAAGGAAAGTCAAATTTTAATGCAAAGTATTAATTTTAAAAAATCTAAGAAAGTCAATTATTGTATTTCAAAAAACTTTCTGTATATAATTTATTTGTAGCCAAATTAAAGATTGTAATAAAATTTTATGTAAAATACTTTTTCTTTATTATAGACACTTCTCATGATTTTATATGTAAAAAAAAAAATTTTAATTTTTTAAATAAAATTTCAAAAAATTTATATTTAAAGATTCGTCTGAGTTTTTGTTTACTACTATATGTCTTTAATAATAATGAATGAAATCTCATAAATATTATTAAATATGTTTACCCATTTGCCATTTCTTTCATCGATTACCAACATATTAAAAGATAAGGTTTTTTTAAGTAGTTTATCGGTTTTTTATATTATATGGAAGACATTCAGGATTAATATTTCAAACAATTTTCACATAAAAAACAGTTTTATCTCCCTCAGAACCTTTTTTTCTGATGTTTATATTGAATTTATTAAAACATTTAATTTTTTTTTCCAGAAAAAATATAGTTTAAGGGAGATAAATTATTGTATATGTAAAATCTTTTAAATGCTCAAACTGACGATACCCATTAAATTAATTTTTGCTTAAATTTGTGTCAGTTGTCGTGTATATAAAATTAGCACTTATACACTATACCAGGGAGTTCTGAAAAGACTTTTAACCAACCCCACTTTTTGAAATTTGATGAAAAGACTTGATCAGATTTTATTTGTTTTTAAGAACTGAGAAACTTTTAGCATCCCTTGCTAATCTTCATGCAAGAAGAAAGTAAATACATATTTTTTTTAAAGATTCATCTTATATAGTGTTGAAATATTATCAACTCATACTTGTAAAATGATGCAGTATGCTACTGTTTACCAACTGACTCTTGACCTGTTTTGATAGTTGATATTAAAAAAAAAGAATATATTTTGTTAGCGAAAAAAGTGTTTGAAATCATGAAGATTATCAATTTTTTGCAAAATAAATTTTGTGCTATTTTTTTCCCCAAAAGTCATAAGGAAAAGACCTTGAGGAGAAATAGTTAATCATTGCATTTTTTTTTAATGGAGGTGCCATTTAGTATAAGAACTATTTTTGATAACAAATTTAACTGTATATTATACTAATTTCGTAACTTTCTAGAAAGAGAAAGCAAAAGGGCAGTTTTGTTTCTTATTTTGTTATTGCACAAGAAACAATTTATTTTGGTGTATATAAATGTCATCCCCCTCAGAGAACTTTTTTATCTCTTATAATTCTTGACAAGGTAATATTCTAATAACCACAAAATCCCAACCTTTCTTGTATTTATATGAGTAAAATTATAATGAGTGTTGGTTGCCATTTTAGCTAATGAAAATGGTAATGAGAGTGAAGAAGAAAACGATGTTTCTGAAAATGAAGAATCTGGAGACTCGGAATCTGGTATGAAGTTTTTTTTTTCTTTTCATTTATGGTTGCATGTCATGATATTATATAAAGTTACATTAAATGCATTTATTTAAAGATATTTCCTTTCATTTTTTAATGAAATATGTTATAGATTATTAACTCTTAATCTTGTGAGGAATCTAACACTTTTCCCCCAAATCTTTAAAGATTTTGAGGAAAAATTCAACAAGTTTGTTAATGTGTGAAACTAATACACAGAAAAAGAGTCAAACTTGAAAAACTTGTTGACTGTAATAAATCTACTGAGAATTTAATGTGAGAAATAAACTTCATAATTAATAAGGAATTTGCAATAGCTAAAACATATTTTAATCTAATTTCCAAAATAAACATTGATCCATTTAGACTGCTCATTTTTTTGTTATAATGACATTGTTTTGATTGTTGTACCTTTCCAGCCTTTTTTCATGTGTCTGTTATTTGATAGGATTTGGGGGATTTTGAACTTAACCATTTATTTAATTTTATATTGTTCTCATTCTAATTTGGAATATCTTGATTTGTCCATGTAATGACACTTTGCCTTACTGCTGAACCAAAATAACTAGACTTTTACTGTCCAATCTAGAGATTGAACTTGCTCACAATCCTTAGGTAACTCAATGCATTTAACTACTAGGCCATTATTCTGTGGGTAAAGAACATATATTGGGTTCAAGGCTCTAAAGTTCTGCCACCTGATTGTCCACCAGATTCCCTAAAAGAGTATTCCATTCATGATGGATGTTACTTATTGGGGCTTAGTATTATCCATGTTCATGGTAAATGTAGTCAACCCACTGACAGATAAGCAATCATAAGTGTTCTATATAATGAATTGTCTGATAATTATGCTCTATATACTCTATCTGTTTGTAGATTTGAGCATCTCAATGATCAACATCTGTTCCTAGTTAATGTTCATAATGGAGCAGGGTATTCTTTGGTGGAATCTTGAACTTCCTATCATCACAGCTGTATAGTGTCCAAGTCTTACAGCCATACAAGAGGGTGGAAATTACTGCTTTGTAGAACATGATCTTAGCTTGTCACATTAAATTATGGCTAGGGAAGGCTCTTGGGGTTAGCTTCCCATGAATGGCATGTACAACTTTGGGAATGTAATAATATACCAATCTCATAGACATATTGACATTTTGTGTACAAACCACATATTTCCAATTAGGATCTGAGATACATTCAAAAGAAGATGGCATGGTTATGGGATCTCCATTATCTTCTATGATGGTAGACATATACATGGAATATGAGTACTTCGACATGGTGTAATAGTTAGCAAGCTTGTCTTATTAGAAAAATTACAACTGAGTAGTGATTTTGATTCTTACTGGGTGACTCATACTTTCTGCTTTGTGCCACATCTAAGCTACCCATAGAAAATTGCCATATACATAGAATACTTTGAAGAAGTGGTTTTAAGAATGACACAATTGAAGCTAATTATCTGACTGAGATAAGTAAACAGAATCTTCATGCTCTGGTTTCACTAAGATCATATGAACATAAGACATTTGATACAACTCATTATAGAAAAGGTGACAATCTATAAATTGGCCATACCGTCTGTACTAAGAACTTGTGCAGAGTATATGTCCAAGATAAGTATATGTTGTAAACAAGCATTCATCAGACAACACCTGAACTACAAAGGTGGATAAGTGGATGACCATAGCAAAAAGAACTATTGCAGTCTACCAGTGTTGTGTCAGAAAAGATTCAGAAGATCTGTGGTTCATGCAACAGTATTCAAATGCAGCCCCATCCATTGGAGACGATGTCAAATCCTGATCTGAAAAAAACATGACTAAGAGCTCCATACATTGTGTTCCAACATTACATGAAAATCAATAAAATGTTAATTATGAAACTGATGGTCATAGGTCATACTTTTATATGGAATATCAAAAAATCTACACTCATATTCAAATATACTGTAATATACAAAATATGATTATTTAAACTGTTCCATTGTCAACTGATTCAATTTGAAGTGATATAAAGATAATAAAAGAACAACACTGACCAAACACAACTGATTTATTTAAATGAATGACATGCAAAGCATAGGCTTGGTCAAATAACACAGTAAAATCATTTACTGATATAATTTTCATTTTTTCTGATGACTTAAGTAACCTAGTGTTCAATAGATTTTAAGTTCACAATTTCCTTTGGAGTGATGGCTTCACAAACTGTTAATATTGCTTCTTGAATTAAATTTGTTTGCTGCTCTTATAAAGGCATTTTTTAACAGTGCTTTAAAAATTTTCAATAGGTCATTTTTTAAAACCCTATTTAGCAAAGTATTCAATGGTTGCAATAGTAGTATGGGCTGGAGCATTTCCATGCATAAATAGCACTTTCTGTTTGAATACCATTTTCTTTTTCTTGGGCTATGGCTGAAAGATGATACTTCAGAATTCAATGTAGGCAGGAGAGTTCATTTATACACCATCAGTAACTCTCTCTCAGGGTCCACCAACTCATTGCTATTAATATCTGCCCAAGATCCACTGCCTCAATCAAAGAGGATTAGTGTCATTCTTTAGGCACCATCAAGATCCAGCAGCATTGCCCTGCACTCATCTGTGAATAACACTGAAAATCTAATTTTTAATACTTTTTGGCTTATGAAACCTGTTTACTGAGGTGATTTGGCTTTGTGAGAAAGTGAATAGCAGGTTTGGGACATAAGCACATTAGGATGTAGTATCTTGAAGTTTTAGGTATATTTGGAGCTTTAACAATGCCAAATAATTGTTTACTGTTCTTAAGTGGCTTCTGATGCATCACTATCTTCAAACAATTTCCATTTGTTGAGTAGGAGACAAACATCTGATTTTTTTTCTCTGTGTTAGCATGTACACTTTTTTTACAATGATGTTCACCCTGTACAAGGCCTAAGAGCCACTTGAGGTAGAGAGTTACAGAGTAAGAGGCACCACCCCGAGCAAGGTGATAATGCCACCAAGACACAAGCAGCCATTGGAAGTTAAAGTTAAGGAAGAGAATTCACAAAGAACTGGAAACCTAATCTTAAGCAGATAATATGGGATAAACCTATTCTTCTGTTCCAAATACTGGGGAGGAGTGTAAACCGGATGATAAGCAAACTTATCTATTCCAACTGAAGAAAGAAAATAGAAATAAATAGTAAATAAAAATTCAGAGTTTTAGGAAGAGACATTAGAAGTATAGAGTTAGAGTAGACTTTAGAAGGAACAAGAAACATAGGATAAACCTCTGCACATGTTCAAAAGGATTTAGTGTGAACTAGGTGACAGGTCATTTTCTCTGGTCAAACATCTTAAAATGATCACTGAATGCAGATGGGTTTGAGATTAATTTCTTGATTGTATGCAGGTCTTTTGCAAGAGTTTTAGTAATTTTCTCTGTTGCTTTTCCTTCATAAAGCATTTTAACAATTTTGCCTTCTCCTCATTGCATATAACTTGAATAAAGAAAAAAAAAGAAGCAGTATCACTAAAATGGTTACCAGCTGTTTATTACTGAACACTCTCACAGTACCACTTGACATTGCACACTGTTGCACATGCTAGTGTTTTTATTTAAAAAAATGTGATAATACATGCAATCACCGAGAGAATAATTTATGAAATGTGATTTGCATATAATGTTGAAACATCCTGTATATACCACTCTGTGCAGGTGTCATAAAAGCAAGATCACTTGCTCCCTGAAAGCTATAATCCATATGCAAGGCTAATTGTGCCTAGACAGAAAAAAGGTTGCTACTTATATATGGAATGAAATTAAAGAAATAGAGAATAACATTGAAAAATAAAGTGCTTCAAAGAATCAGTGGACCTGCTATGTTCTAATATACTCCCCAGTAATATAGAAGTGAATATCATATAGGAGCCTGTTGTTGAAAGAGTCTATCAAGCTTTAGATAAGAATCATGAAGCTCAGACTGTTGCTTTGGATATGTTGAAGGCATTTGACAGGGATTAGTATATTGGTCTTCACCAGTTGAAAGGTTATGGTATTTCTCAGTGAATTTTTCAACTTATTCAGTGTTACTTATTGTGAAATGAAAGCCATCTTGAACAGTCACTCTTCTAGATCTTTTTGCATTGATGCAGGTGTCTCCCAGGGCACTATCCTTGAACTCAAATTTTCATCAACAACCTTATGGCATCATTTCTCAATTTGGTATCTATGATGATGACATAATCATTTATTCCTGTCTTAATAGTAAATCTGAGCAGTTTGATAAGGTCAAATTGACAGCTGATCTCAAAGATGATCTATGCTCCATTGTTAACTGATGACACATTAATTTTAACATCTCAAAAACAAAACTTCTCTCATCTGAGAGAACCCTTTTTAACTTTGATTGACGTAACCCCAGAAGGAGTTGGTTTTTCATCAATATTTACTCTACAAATCAACATCAACTAACAGAGTTGATGCCAGAAAATATACATTGAAAAAATTACAGTAGGCTCAAAAAATATTTCCCATGATCTGTGTATGTTTTGTTGGATTATAAATAGTTTTTTTCTATATTTTCTACTGTTTTTCAAATTATTCAGTGAACATATGTCCATATCAAAAATGTCTTTAAATTTATTAACTCAGCTGTTTGAAGTTTTGTTGTTTATGTATGAAAATGAAGACATTGTTTTTATTTTTTTCTAGATAGTGGCCCTGATCTTGCTCGAGGAATTGGAAATGAATCAAGCTCAAATGATGATTCAGAAACTGACTCTGAGAGTGGTGAGTTATTGTTTTAGATTCACTTAAAGCATAAAAAAAGATTGTAATTTTGTTTTCTTACTAAAGCTAACAATGGATATTGTAGCCATTTTTAATGCTAAAGCCTAGATATAGTTGGTATGCATAGAAGAGTAGTGACTATGTATTCACTCAGCTACTGTATTCTTTTTCTATTGTTGTGGCATGCCAGTAACAAGGCAATCATTAAAATGATAAGGAAATGATGTAGAGTGGAAAATGAGGTTTATAGTATTCCTAAGTACATTTTAATATTAGAAATGCAATTTGAAACATTCCACCATCCTTTACCTCTGTAGCTTCACAAAATATTGTCAAGTATAACAGGTTGGCATCCTTTTCACTTGTGTAAGATGTGTTGTTGATGTTCTCCAACATATTTGACAAAACTTGAATATACTTGACATGGCATGAAACTCTGTTAACTCCATGACACTCTCCAGCACAAACACCATTGGGCACCAATTTTGAGGTGTTTTCATCCAGATAGTATCTTCCATCCCATACAATTCATATTTTACTTCAGGTTTCAGCCTTTCAGCTGAACCTTGTATTTGTATATCTCTTTGTTTGGCAGGTGCAGCTTATGAGTGAGGCATTCATCTTTGATGTTACATTTTACTAGTACATTACCTCAGATGTAGAACGTAAGCTTCTTTCCAACAATCCTTTTGATATTCTTATAACATTTTCCCACTATTCAATTTCTTGACAAATATAGACACAAAAACTATATCCAAATGCCTCACTCATCCACAAAGTCTTTAAAAACCTTTCTGTAGAATGTTTTGTCATTATCTTTGAGGTGTTCAGCTGTCAAGACTTTCAAGTAATATAGCCTTGGTTTGGCATATGACACTAGCAGAAAAGTCCTTCTAAAACAAAGGTTGCCAAATTGAGAAACATCCTGAACCATACTCAGTGAATGTCAAGTTACACTTACTACCATAATGCATGCTATCCATTCCCAGCCTGTACCAGGTGTTGCTTTTAATTTTTCTTTCTGCTTTTGCATTAGTCCTGTATTTATTGATTTACATAATCTGTTTTTTTACCCTCTGACTAAAAAGCTGCTTTTGATACAGAAGGAAAATTTGAAGTAAACAACACCTGCTGCAGTCTGGAAATGTATATTGCATATAGTGGCGGGCATTACTTGATATACATTGACTGCAGTCCTGCATATTTCTTAACATTTAGAGCTTTATGAGCTATTTTGGCAACTTAAGATGTTGTTAAATGATCAAAATAGCTTATGGCAAAATTGATTTAAAGATATCTAAAAAAACAAAACAAAACTCATAATATACAAAGAAGCACAAACATCCATCGCTTGTCTAGCTAAAACTTCTGGGAAACAAGCAAAAAAAGTCCAATGCTGATTAAAACATCCAGTCAGCACCTTCTACTGAGTGAATAAGCAAGAATTGATGTCCTAATACTGTTCATCTCTATTTGATTGTGGCCATCTTGAAATGCTTTATTACTGATCACCACTGGGTGTCACAATCTTTCTTCCTTTGGCAGGGGCTGCAGGATCAATAACATGGTTATCTTTTGTAATGTAACTTAAAATGCAAAAAATATATTTGTTTAAGCTTAAATGATATCTAGAATTCTTGTGTGCCAAAATTAAAGTGTATGTGTTTTTGTAACCATTAGGTAACTGATAAAAGGTGTTACAAAATTTAGATGCTTTTCTAAATATTATATTCTCCCTCAGAATTATTATGGGCACAGTTGTAATTATTGTTAGCTATACAAATGCCTATGTTTGAGAACCTTTGTGAAAACAGTGTAAACTTTTCGTAAAGGATTTAGATTTGTGTCTTTGTTCATTTTCATTATAATGTTGTGGTATTTTTCAAGCAAATAGCTGAATATCTTTTAGAAACTTTGAACAGTATCTTTTCATTTACTTAGATGTTTTTGTTAATCTTTTGTTGCTGTTTCAATTCATAAATCCAATTGACAGAGATTCATGCTACAATGTTACAATGTATTTTCCCTGATTATCTATGACTTCCTTCCATCTATTAACAAGCTTACTAATTCCATTACTGTAGAATTCTTTTGCCTTTGATTCGAAGAACTCACAAATGTCAGTTTTAACCTCTTCCTATGATACAAATGCTGTTTCTTCCAAATGATTCTGTAAGCTACGAAACAAATGGTAGTCTGAAGGAGCAATATCGGGAGAATAAGGTGGATGAGGAATTTTCTCCCAACCAAATTCTTCGATCTTTTATGACGTGATTCTTGCTGTGTGGGGTCGCCTCTTCACCTCTTTTCGATTCACTAGAGCGGGTCTTTTTTCCTCAAAGCTTGGTTCAAACGCTCTAATTGCTGACAGTGTAATTGGGCATTAATTGTTGCATTAGGTGGTAAGAATTCAAAGTGGATTATTCCTTGGCGATCCCACCTTTTGCCCATGAAGTTCCCTTCTCGACTGTGGCTGGGGTCCTTCCCCTTAACCAAGTCACTGTCTACGACGCTTAACATTTCGATAAAAAGATCCATTTTTCGTCGCCAGTCACAAGTCTATCCAAAAAGGTGAAAAAAGTTGGCGAGAATGGAGAGAAGTGCAGATGTCAACTCGGGATTTGAGGTTGTTTTCAGACAATTCATGAGGCACAAATTTTCCAAGTTTAGGAACTTTTGCAAGTTGTTGAAAATGACGATGAACAGTTGTATGGTTTGAACTGAGAAACACTGCCAATTCCTCAACTGATAAAGCAGGATTTTCTTAAAGGGCTGCTTCAAGAATCTTTTTTTATCAAACTCAACTGGACGTCCGGTTCGATCTTCATCTTCAAGGGTGAAATCTCCACCTCTGAATTTTGCAAACCATCTTCTGCAAGTTCTTTCATTCTCACATTCCTCCGAGTGATTGTTTCTAGCTACTTCGGCTACTGAGATTCCTTTCTTGAACTCATAAAGCATTATGTGGCTCAAATGATTCTTGGGTACTTCCATTAGCAGGGTTTTAATCAAACAAAATTTAAATATATTGTTCTTTGAAATAAAATTTGATCAGTTTAAATGCATCTAAACATAAAAATAATGTTCAGCTCCATTAGACATTATAAAATACTCTTTAAATTTTGTTCATTTTAACAAAAAGTTAAAATTCGGACAGAACTTATGGGATGACCTGATATATATATATATATATATATATATATATATATATATATTACTGTGAAATTCTTTTGGCATTGATTCAAAATACAAAATCATTTATAACAATATAAAATTGTTAATTTTTTCTTAAAATTTCTTAACAATATACAAATGGTATATCTGAAGCATAATGATTCACAATAAAATGAATATGGATTAAATAAAAGATTGATTTTGAAATTCTTGATGAATTTGATTTTTAAAATTACCTTTTTAAAATCAAATTTATAAATATTCATCTAGAGTTTATTATTTTTTTAAAATATATTTATTCAAATATTAATATAAAGATTTATTTCATTTAAGAATAATTAATTGTTGCATATTCAATAAATATAAATGTTTTATATGAAACATCTAAAATCACAGATTAAAATTAAATTTTATTTGAAGTATTTTCTACAATTTTTATGACATAAATATTTATAAACTATTTACAATGCTTAACATTTTGTTAAAAGTTTTATTTTTAAATTTTTTTTTCCAAGTCTATCCAAAAATTTATTAAATAAATATATAAATTAAATATATCTATATATATATATATAAATTTTTTTTTTATCATATTTTTTTTTTAAATTAAATAATTTTTTTTTAAAATGTTGAAGAATATATTGACAGTTGTATATTTTTGTTTTTTTTAACACATTAAATAATACGATTCAAAAAATTATAAAGCATGTATTTTTCTTAAAAAAAATTTTTGAAAAGAAAAAAATTTTTTTCACGTTAAGTTTATGAAATTATTTCCAATGTAATTTATTCCAATTCAAAATCTTTTAAATTTTTCATTCCACATTCCTCTCCATAAAAATTTGATTGTGAATAATTTTGCTTATATTTCCTTTCTTGAACTTGTATCATGATATATATTCATATATTTTTATATATCCATATTAAGAATTTTTTTAATCAAAAACATTAAAATTTAAATTATTGTTCTCTGAAATAAAATTTTTATATTTAAATTCTAAACATAATTGGATATTTCAAATATTAGATTTATAAAATATATTTTTTATTTTAAGAATTATTTAAATAAATAAATATATATATTTTATATTTGATATGAAAAATAATTTTGATATATTCAATAAATGCCTTTTATTTTAATATTTCATTTTTAATAAATTGAAAAATTAAATTATTTTGTTTATTTTTCAAATTTTATTTTAAAAAAATTTTTTTTTTTTTTTTTTTTTTGTGTTCAATATTTTTTTTTTTTTAATGCAAATCATTATATGTTTTGTTTTTATTTTTAACATTTTTTCTAATATAGTAATGAAATTTTTAAATTTTCTAAATAAAATTTTCTGAAGTTTTTTTAAACCTCTTTGAAATTACTGAAAAATGAAAAATTTCACCATTTTCATTTTTTTTAAAAGATTTTATTTTTTGAAAATAATTATTTAAAAGTCTTTAATCAATTTCTTTGTTTCCAAATAAAAATCTTAGGATGCAAAATTTAAAAAATTAAAAAATAAAAAAAAATTTTTAAAATATTTTCTTTTTAATCAAAATTGTTTCTGCTTTTATTTATTATAAATGATATTTTGACTTTAAAAATTTTTTATTTAAAATTTTTTAAAAAATAAAATTTGAACAAAATTCCATTTAAAAAAAAAATATTAAAATAAAAAAAAATTTTTGAAAATGTCTGTTTTAATTTGCTAAATTAAAACAGATAAAAATTTTATTTTTGTATATTTTTAATTTTAAAATAATAATAATTGTATATTTAAAATAAAATAAATTTTTTTAAAATAAAAATTAATTTATATGTTTGGAATTTAAAAATA